ATTTTCTTTTCTTATTTAATTAATTAATTATTTTTTTTCAGAAAGGTCTTGCTCTGTCACCTAGGCTGAATTGCAGTGGTGTGATCATAGCTTGCTGCAGCCTGAACTTTTGGGCTCAAGTGATCCTCCTACCTCAGCCTCCAGAGTAGCTGAGACTACAGGGTGTGCTACCATACTCGGCTAATATTTTTTTCATTTTTGGTAGAGAAAAATTTGGATTTCCCTTATTCTGTTCTATTTTTTTCCTTCAATAACCCTTATCTTCTAACTTACTATACTTGCTACATAATAAGTATAGTAAGTAATACGATTATTACTACATAATAAGTATAGTAAGTTAGAAGATAAGGGTTATTATAGGAAAAAGTAGACCAGCCCAGGCTGGTCTCAAACTCCTGGCCTCTAGTGATCCTCTTGCCTCGGCCTCCTAAAGTGCTGGGATTACAGGCGTGAACCACTGTGCCTCGCCGATTATTTCAAATATATGCTGATATGGTCTCTACAGAGGCAGTTGGAGGCATAAAAGCTGTCGGCAGTCAAGCATCAAAAAGTGGAATCAGATTCCTCATTGCAAGTGCATTCTTATCAAAGTAACTCACAATTAGTCAGTTATTGAACTTCATGGAAACGAAAGGATCTATTGTCATTTTCTGTAGGGAAAATGCCCGTGTGTTAGAGCAACAGACAAGGACACTTCTCAGATGGCTTCCATTTTTAAGTGTCTATGATTCTGGGACATCGCCATTCCAACACCCGCTTCCAGAAATCATCAAGTGAAAGACGATAAAGAAATTGTTTACCTTATTGCTTCCCTTTCTTATCTCACCCTATAAGCCTGGTCATAAGAAAGAAGAATAGGCCAGGCACAGTGGCTCATGTCTGTAATCTCAGCGCTTTGGGAGGCCAAGGAAAGCGGATCATTTTAGGTCAGTAGTTTGAGACCAGCCTGACCAACATGATGAAACCCTGTCTCTACTAAAAATATAAAAATTACCTGGGCATGGTGGCACACACCTGTAATGCCAGCTACTTGGGAGTTTGAGGCAGGAGAATCACTTGAACCTGGGAGGCAGAGGTTGCAGCGAGCTGAGATTGCATCACTGCCCTCCAGCCTGGGTAACAGAGAAAGACTCTGCCTCAAAAAAAAAAAAAAAAAGTCAAAGGATGAAGAAGTTTCATGGTTATTTCAATTTCAGAGAAGTTATGGAAACCTCTTTTTCTTTTTCTTTTTTTTTTTGTTTTTTGAGACAGAGTCTTGCTCTGTCACCCAGACTGGAGTGCAGGGGTGCGATTTTGGCTCACTGCAACCTTGGCCTCCTGGGTTCAAGAAATTCTCCTGCCTCAGTATCCTGAGTAGCTGGCATTATAAGCTAGCCTGCCACCAGGCCTGGCTAATTTTTGTATTTTTAGTAGAAATGGGTTTTTGCCGTGTTGCTTAGGCTGGTCTTGAACTCCTGACCTTGTGATCTGCCTGCCTTGGCCTCCCAAAGTGCTGGGATTACAGGCATGAGCCACCTCACCCTGCCGGAAACCTCTTTTACTTAGGGAGAAAGAATGTGGGGTGTGTGTGTGTTTTCAAATTAAGACCAGGGTCCATTGGAATAAGTGCTAAGTTATTAAATGGCCAGATTTCTTCAAATTAATGAACACCTTCCTTTAGTAACTACTTTTCTTCAGCAAGTGCAGGTTGCATCAGAAATGTCCATCGACTAAAATTTTGAACCCCAAGAGAAGAAGCTATTTAAAAATAGAACATCTCTTTTGCCTTAACTTAGAAGACTGTATGAGCATCATGAAAAGTATAAATTTCAGTCTTCATTTGTGTAAGTAGTTTTCGTTAGTGTTTTGAACAAAATTACATAAATTTCCTATCCTAAACTAGCTTTGGCCCGTCTGATAGTCCCCTTTCTCCATTTCTCCAGGTTACTATGTCCCTTACATATATTTATGGCCTCAGGGGCAAGGTCCACAGCCAGGGGACCTTCTCTTCTGTTTCTACTATGTTCCATTCATGTTTCCTTCTTTCTTCTTCCTGCCTTGGGCCACACTTTTTCTTCTTCTCCTCTCATACTATTGTAGGTCAGGCTGTCAGGCAATTTAGATGGCTGGGATTGATAGCATAGCACAGGAGATGGAGAAAGGGAGAAGAGGCTGGATGGGTGGCTCATGCCTATAATCTCAGCAATGTGGGAGGCCAAGGCAGGTGGATCACCTGAGGTCAGCAGTTCAAGACCAGTCTGGCCAAAATGGGGAAACCCCATCTCTACTAAAAATACAAAAATTAGCCAGGCGTGGTGGTGGGCACCTGTAGTCCCAGCTACTTGGGAGGCTGAGATAGAAGAATTGCTTGAACCACAGAGGCAGAGGCTGCAGTGAGCCGACTTGGCACCACTGCACTCCAGCCTGGGCAACAGAGCAATATTCCATCTGGGAAAAAATAAATAAAAAAGAAGAGAAAGAGAGAGAAAGGGAGAGGGAAGACTCCTGGCCACATGATCCTCTCTTCCCTACTAACCACCACTGTTAGTGACTGGCTCCGGAAGTGAATGTGGTATCCTCTTTCACTCCCTCAGTCTATTCTCATGGGTCCTAATTTGCCTCATATGCTTTCCTTCTCTGGGTTCATGATTTACTCTCAAAACTGCACTTGTGGGAGGGAATAAGAAGAAATAGTAAGGAAACAGCAGAGGGTATCCAGACAGACGGTATCACCAGTATCCACAAACCATGCCCTAGGCTAGGCAAGCCTGGTTCTCTGGTCTAGTTTGGTCAGGAGGTCATATGTCCAACATCAATGACTTATTGTTTTCAAACCTTAGGTCAGGGGTTTTGCTGTCTCCTGATAGAAGGAAAAGAAAGAGGTGAACTTACAGCTGGTAGACAGGCAGATGATGATGCTGTGCATAACCCACAGCTGATCTTAGCTCTTTAAAAACGTACCTGCTTATTCTTGGGAGTAAGTTGCAGATGTGACTTTCATTTCTCAGATATGCTGTAGAGGAAACAGAGTTGAGAATCCCTGTCCTACTTTATACGTACCCACCTCCCTTAAGTATAACCTTACTTAATTTCCTCCCCAGCTCAGTTGCTGGGATGTTTTTGTGACCTAGTGACATCAGTTGTGATGGAAATTTTGGGAAGGGTGAGACATCTGGACTCCAGGTGCTCACTTCTGTGTGGCAGGCATCTGCGGAGACCAAAACAGGAAATTCAGCCTCAGTGCTCAATTACAAATTTTCTCTTGAATAATTATTAAATTTAAAAATTTATTACAAAATGTATCAAATATGAGAAGAGCATGGAGAATAGTATAACAAATATCCTCCTATCTTATAGTCATTTTAGATCCCTATGTATTGTTACTTTTTTTGAAGCAGAGTTTTGCTCTGTTGCTCAGGCTGGAGTGCACTGGTGTGATCTCAACTAACTGCAATCTCAGCCTCCCAGGCTCAAGCAATTCTCATGTCTCAGCCTTCTGAGTAGCTGGGATTACAGGTGATCCAACAGTCCCGGCTAATTTTTGTATTTTTAGTAGAGATGGAGTTTCACCATGTTGTCCAGGCTGGTCGCAAACTCCTGACCTCAAGTGATCCACCCATCTTGGCCTACCAAAGTACTGGGATTACAGGTGTGAGCCACCATGCCCAGCTGTATCAGATCCTATTTTTGTTTTATTTTTTTGAGATGGAGTCTCTCTCTTGTCACCCAGGCTGGAGTGTGGTGGCACCATCTTGGCTCACTGTGACCTCCGCCTCCCAGGTTCAAGCAGTTCTCCTGCCTTGGACTCCCACCTCTCAGGTTCAAGTGATTCTCCTGCCTCAGACTCCCGAGTAGCTGAGATTACAGGCACCTACCACCATGCCTGACTAATTTTTGCATTTTTAGTAGAGACGGGTTTCTCCATGTTGGTCAGGTTGATTAAACTCCTGAGCTCAAGTGACCCACCCACTTTGGCCTCCCAAAGTGCTGGAATTACAAGTGTGAATGACTGTGCCCGGCCATATCAGATCCCTATTTTTGAAGAATCTAAGTCACTAGGTATAGTTACAGACACTATGTATCACTCCCCAATCTCATTAGTCTCTTTCTTTTCCCAGAGGTAACCACCATTCCAATTTTGGAGTTCATCATTCCCATGAATATTAAAAAATTTTAATTACAGGCAAATTCATGATTATGTAAAGAATAGTTTGAATGTATTAAAACTTTACATAAGTTTGTAAAGTTATGTTCATTCCTCTGGGTCATTTTTTTCAACTGCTTCATAATATTTTTCTATGGCTTTAACTCAATTATTGCATTTATTTCCTATTGTTGGATAGTATTTTAAAAACAAATAGATCTATATTGAGATTATTTCAAAAATAGTGCATATTAAGTGCCAGTACACTTGGAAAATATTGATTTCATTCTTATAATAGTACTGAGGAGCTCAATATTATTTCTCCATTTTGCAGATGGGGAAACTGAGGCACAGATGGAAGTTATTTGCTCAAGGTCACAAAGTTAGCAACTTGTGGGTCTACTTCCTAGAAGTGAAATTGGTGGATCACAGGTTATAGGCACCTTCCACCTTACTAGATATTGCACTCTACAAAGTAGTTGTGTAGATAGGAACTCTTGGAGAACAGAGCCAGAAAAAGCCCAGAACTGTGGAGAATAATGCATTAAGAAATCATTCCCAGGATATAGAACTAGGCCCTAAACTAAGAACGTTCTCTGCCTCCAGAATATGGGGTGTGGCATGGACTGAATTATGTCTCCCCTCAAATTCATATGTTAAAGCTCTATCCTTCAGTGTGACTATCCTTCAGTGTGACTATACTAAGAATGGGACCCCAATCCAATAGGGCTCATGTCCTTATAAGAAGAGGAAGACACCAGAGCTTTACAGCTGTCTGCAAACCAGAAAGTGCACCCTCGCCACGAATCAAGTTGGCTGGCGCTGTGATCTTGGACTTCCCAACCTCTAGAACTCTGAGAGAGAAATTTCTGTTATTGTGGTCGGTTTGGCAGTACATATACTAAAACATTGGAATGATACAGAGAAGATTAGCATGATGCCTGTGCAAGGATGGCATGCAAATTTTTGAAGCTTTCCATATATATATATATATATATATATATGTGTGTGTGTGTGTGTGTGTGTGTGTGTGTATATATGTGTGTGTGTGTGTGTGTATATATGTGTGTGTGTGTGTGTGTGTGTATATGTGTGTGTGTGTGTGTGTATATATGTGTGTGTGTGTGTGTGTGTGTGTGTATATATGTGTATATATATATAAAACCTCTCTCACATCTCTTTGTTTCTGCCGGAATTCCAATTATATGTGTATTTATCTTCTCATTCTCTCTTGTGTCTCTTAAACTCTCTTGAACCTTTTCCATGTTTTGCGTCTTTCACATTCTGGGCAATTTCCTGAGCTCTGTCATAGTCTACTCTTCCCTCTTCAGCTGGTCTAAGTTGCTGCCAAATTTGACTAATGGGTTTTCTGTTTCAGTAATTCTATTTCTCATTTCAGAAATTTTTTTTCTATACTGTCTTCTATGTTAACTCTTCTCCTTTGTGTCTTTGTTTTATCATCTTAACTTGCTTATTCAGCAACCTGAAGCTCTGAGAATCTAAAGAACTTTGTTACATGCTTGTTATTCTGCAGGCTCTTGCTCATGATGGATTATTAAGTACTGAGCTGTGTGATGTACGTTATGAGTTCATCTTCAGCAGGGCTCTATTTGTAGGTATAGTGGTGAGTGTGTTCCTTCTTTGTGGTTTTCTTCTACCAAGTGCTCCAGTGATGTAACCATCCTAGGATCTGTTTATGTGTTACTTTTTTTTGGCTTGGGGGTTTCTGGGCCCTCACATGGCATTGACCCATAATTGACTTGCCAATAAGGAAACTCTTTTTTTTGTTTTTCTATTCAGAGTCTAGGTAGGTCAGAGGAGACAAACTTCCACGTCATCTTATTATGATGGTAGAGAGATATTTTTCTAGTCCACTGTTTTCCTGTGCTGTATGTGGAGTCAGGGAAGAGAGGAAGGGTGTCTCTTACTTCAGCTTCCTAGTTGGCAGTCTCAAGATCTTCTGCTTTATCACTGTGTGCATGTTAAAACCAAATTCCTAAGATTCATCAAGGTGGAGATAAAACCGACCATTCCAGGTTAATTGCTGCATCAGCTCACTCACATAGTGCTCTGGTTTTCAGAAACCAGATCTTCATTACTGAGCTCTGGGGAGTTCTCTTACTTTCTTGTAAGCTTAACTATGCATTCAAATGGTTTACATTTCTTTTTTGAGACAGAGTCTCACTCTCTCACTCAGGCTGGAGTGCAGTGGTGTGATCTTGGCTCACTGCAACTTCTGCCTCCCAGGTTCAAGCGATTCTCTTGCTTTAACTCCAGATTAGCTGGGATTACAGCGTGCACCACCACACCTGGCTAATTTTTGTATTTTTAGTAGAGATGAGATATCATCGTATTGGGCAGACTGGTCTCGAACTCCGGACCTCAGGTAATTCGCCTGCCTCGGCCTCCCAAAATGCTGTGATTACAGACATAAGCCCACCTTACCAGGCTGCTATGCATTCAAATGGATGTTACATGTGGCGTTACTCTGTGTTAATGGTGGGAGAGTTTTCAAAACATTGAGTCTGTCCTGTTCATAAAATTAGAAATCTTAGGTATTCTAAACTATCAAAGGTTGTTGTTTGTACCACATGATCACAGCCTAATTTCCATATATGGCACACACTTCCACAGGAGCATGCTGCATGTGCACATGTGTTCACCCACAGAATACCTGTGTTGCATACCCTTAGTGCTCATGTGTAACTTTATTCCTTATGGATCTCAGTGGAAAAAGTAAAAGTCTGAACGACTAGAAAAATATATGGGATCAGAGGGAGTCCCTTAATTATCAGCAGAAACATTTCGGGAAATACAGCATAGTGGTTAATGCCTGTGTATCAGACAAGCCTGTGTTGAATCTGGCCTTTGCCATTCTGTAAACTTGAGCAATATACTCAACTTTTTTTTTTTTGAGACAGGGCCTTGCTCTGTCACTGAGGCTGGAGTGCAGTAGTGGATTCTTGGCTCATTGCATCCTCACCCTCCCAGGCTCAAGGGATCCCCTATCTCAGCCTCCTAAGTAGATGGTACTACAGGTGTGCACTAATTTTTTAAAAATTAAAAAAAAAAAGTTTTTATAGAGATGAGGGCTCACTATGTTGCTCAGGCTGGTCTTGAACTCCTGGCCTCAAGCGTTCCTCTCACCTTGGCCTCCCAAAGTTCTGGGATTACAGGCATGAGCTACTGCATCCAGCCTTACTCAACTTCTTTATGCTCGGTTTTCACATCTGTGAAATGAGAGTGTTAAATGTGAGGATTAAATGAATGATTCAATAACGTTAGTAATTACAATGATTATTATTAGAATTATTTATTTGTATGCTTTAAAAAACTCAATTCTCTTCCAAAACCTCTGAGGGCCAGTATATTAAGTTGAACCACAAAATTGCTATGTTTGTTGATCAAAAGTTATTAGATTGGCAGTTTTGTAAGTCTCAATGTAATACTTCAGAATAGGGATCCAATTTTGAAGTTGTTAGAGGAAGACACATTGAAAGGATGAGACTTTGATAATAGAAACACAGGTTGGGGCCAGGTGCGGTGGCTCACGCCTATAATCCCAGCACTTTAGGAGGCTGAGGCAGGAGAACTGCTTGAATCTGGGAGGTGATGGTACAGGAGTGTTTAAGAAATAATTTTTAGGTGGATAGAATAAAGGTTCTCGGTGGAAATTTTCCTGTAATAAGAAACAACGCCGGAACCATCTCTTTTCTAACAGAAAAGGTGGCTTGAAGGGTCCGGCTGCCATGCTTTAACATGCAAATGCCGGCCATTAGAAACTGGGTTCACTCAATATGGAGATTCCCGCCGTCTTTTCCTTGTCACTAGGTGTGTGTCACCAAGTGTCATGGTCACCTCCAGAAAACACCACGTGTTCAGAACACCACAGCGACCTGCATTTGCATGTTACAGGGCTAAGGTGGGAGGGCCAGGTTTTTCTCGGATTATGTAAATGACACACCTGGTTAAACCAATCTTCTGGGCCCTGTGGATATCCAACACCACCTCCTCCAGTCTCCTCATAGGAGCAGCCACTTTTCCACCACACGTGGGGTTTCCTCTTTCTTTGAATCCGCGCTCCTTCTGTCTTTGTACAGGGGAGCTGTTTTTTTCTTCCTTCTTTCTTGCCTGTTAAACTTTTCGTTCCTTAAAACCACTCTACGTGTGTCCGTGTTGTTTTACATAAACCTGTGCGAGACCGAGGACCCTGGTGTTCCTCCACTCATTGGAGCGGTATGAGAGAGGTTGCAGTGAGCCGAGATTGCCCTAGTGCACTCCAGCCTGGGCGACGAGTGCAACTCTGCCAAGAAAAAAAAAAAAAAAGAAGGAACAAATATTGGGACTCAGTGTCTAGGGATAGGAAGGTCCCCAAGTGTTGAATGTGAATTCCCCATTGGCTGGACATTTCTTCAATTTTATTATAATTTACTCAGTTTTAGCATTGCCTAATTTAGATAAAGCTTTGTCAGAAAGTTGCTGAAGTTACATGTATTTGAAACAAAAATATCCCATTTTGGAAGTGATCATTAAGAATAGGAGACTTAGTAGTTAGCAGGAGGCTGTTAGATGGTCAGCTCATTAGCCAGCTCCTAAGGTGGACTGCAGAGTGATTAGGAGAAAGAATTGAGGGTGGATTTGCATACTTCTGGATCTGATCTTCTTGTTAATACTGGATAGCTGATTAATAACTGTGAAGAAAATAAAGGTCCTGCTGGGTGGCCCGCAGGGAGCAATACCTAATTAGAGGACACATCCCCTGCCAGACGAGAGAGCTGTTGCTGCAGGGTTGATGAATAATCTTCTGAGGCCAGGAGCTGGAATTTAGCCGAATTCCTGTCACTTTCTCCTGTAATTTGACTGTGTGATTCACTGACAAAAAAAAGTGGCCCTGTGGAGGTGAGCCCTCCCACACCCGAGGCTCCCCAATGCTGCTGATGCCTTTTGAATTCACTCTTCTTTTAACAGATCAGTCATTATGTAATCTCTCTGATTTCACTTTTGTAATTTAGGTAAATAAGAAAATTAGCAACAATAAGCCGGCTATGGGAAAGACTTGAGATATATGGCCTGTTATTTTATTTTATTTTTTTTTTGAGACGAAGTTTTGCTCTTGTTACCCAGGTTGGAGTGCAATGGCACGATCTCGGCTCACCGCAACCTCCGCCTCCTGGGTTCAGGCGATTCTCCTACCTCAGCCTCCCGAGTAGCTGGGATTACAGGCACGTGCCACCATGCCCAGCTAATTTTTTGTATTTTTAGTAAAGACGGGGTTTCACCATGTTGACCAGGATGGTCTCGATCTCTCGACCTCGTGATCCACCCGCCTTGGCCTCCCAAAGTGCTGGGATTACAGGCTTGAGCCACCGCGACCGGCCTATGGCCTGTTATTTTACAAGACATAGTTACTACTCTGTAGCACTTCATATGATCATTGTGAGACTGGTTCACTCAGTTTCTCTGGTGGACAGAGTTTAGTTTCTATTCCTACCCCAAAACCAAATGATGGCTGAATGTTGACTTGAAATGATGATGTAGTGTTAGAACCTCTAAAGGTTGCCAGAATGTTCTGATGACAATGGATTACACCTCTCTCTTAACTTCTTCCTTAAACACTATGTAAGCAATCCATGATAGCTTCTTTTATTTATTATATTATATTGCATTTAATTATTTTTAGAGTTGGGGGTCTCTCTTTGTTGCCAGGCTGATTTCAAACTCCTGGACTCAAATGATCCTCCTACCTCGACTTCCCAGAGTGCTGAGATTACAGGCATGAGCCACTATGCTTGGTTCCATAATTGCTTATGTAAAAGTTAAAAGAAACTGCTGGATTACCATATTCACACCTTGGTGTCAGCAAGGCTCTGAGTAAAAAGAAGATTCAATCTAGAGCAGATATGGAGAAATATGACTTTCATTATGGGAAAGGCATTTCTATGTAGTAGAAGGAAAAAGAAGACTGTAGATGCAATGGAGAATTGGT